GTCCATAAACTTCAAGTATATAGTATACTAGAAATAATTTGACAAACGTATTCCAAATAAAATAATTTATCTTACTTTGAATTGCCACTTTAGTTCATTAAGAAAACGTCTGTAACATATTAAACAATAAGTGCTTGTAAATAATCTATTTTATTATCTCTCATTGGCAATGTTTACCTGAAGATGTACGTAAAAGGTTATAGAGAAAAGACTTATAGACAGTTCTCTACAATTTTCCTTATAGTCCATTACAAAGAAGGTTATTTAATACGTCCCTTGCAGATACTTCGTGTTATTGAATCTCGTATTCGTTACGTCACAGCTTCGCGTGAGATAACAATTAACAAAGCTATTGTTAAATCCATGCAAACGACAGTTTAGTCAACTAGTTATAAGACTGACTTTGACTTTCCTAAAAAACCGTGACATCATATCCCTGGCGTTATGTGGCCGGTCTGCCCCCAAACTTAAAGTAAATTAATATTAGTTTTTAAACTAAATAATTACAGGTAAATAATTTAAAAATACCTCTATAGATACACCAATAAAACATAATTAACATCAGTAATAAAACATGATAAATAGGATTTAAAGTTTTCGAAATGAAATGAGGTAAAATATACTTCCCGTCGGAGGGGCTCGGAGCCTATCCTAAGATAAGGGTGATTAGGCCATAGCCAACCACGCTGGTCCAGTGCAGGTTGGTTGACTTCACACATATTTTTGAATTCTCAGATATGTGCAGGTTGCATCACGATGTTTTCCTTCACCGTAAGAACGTCGGATAAATGTACATATGTAAATCGGAAATTGAAAAACACATTGGTACATGGCGGGATTCGAACCCAAGACCTGCAGATTGCAAGTCAAGTGCTTGACACCTGAGCCACCTACATTAAACTTAAACGATATATGAACATGAAATAAGTGAAATGATAAAACATTTGCATTGAGTTCGCCAATAATGATTACAACTTTTGGTCGATCCTCACGAAAACATTGTGTTTTACAACTATATCTATTTGTACATGAATGGATTAAATATATACTTATGACTCATCCCTATTGTAGATAATAATATTGCATTGTGAACATATTAATTCTGAACATCTTGACGGTTTCAATAGTGTGAAGTTCGACATATTTATCTGGATTTTTTTCTCAAAATAAGGGTAAAATTTTTCTTGCTTGTATGTATTTTTTGTTTCGGATAATTGCATATTAAAGGGAAACATATTCACAAATCGAATTTAACATTTTACAATACTTTGTGTAAAGGTAAACGTGACATATTAAACTATTGTGATCAGTTTTGCAATAATATTTACTTTGACCTCTTATTTGTGATTATTTCCTTAATTTTCACACTGGCATGTGATAAAAAGTTGTGGCTATTAAGCAAAAATAACACAAACATTATTATTTGTTAACTCAATATATTTGAACGAAGAAATACGAAGTCTTTATAAGTAACGAGTTAAATATTTGCATCACGTTTTTTGTTCCGCGTGTTACAACTTTGTAAAGTCGAGATAAAAATAATTTTATATATAATATATTTTTATTTAAATTTTGTACTTTATACGAAATACCAAAATTTATTAAATGTTCGGAAGACCGAAGAATGCATGGATGGATTGTGTTAAAGAAGATTTGCGTAAGAAGATGAATTAAGATAATATAATTACTCATAGAGATGTGTGGAAGAGACTATGCCAACCCTCCGTAGAGTCCCTTTTTAAAATTTGCCATACTTTTATATAGCGTTAAATTAGTAGCAAAAATGTGCCTCTATATATTTTAGTAATGAATAGTATAAATACTGCCAAGTGATCGAAAAGTTCAATAAAAAAAAAATCATAAAATACACAACAAATTCACATTTCATTAATTTTAGTCTAAAGATTTTTATCAAAAGATTAGACTTAGTTGTTTTATACAATAATCCGTTCAATGAAGCGTGTAAAATTATTTAAAATCACACATCTATTAACAATTTGTAATAAAACCGGATCTAATGTAACTTGATCTAACCGCAATCTTGATTTGAATCCGATGTAAACATCAGCGTTGTATAAAATCTAATAAATATTGGCAAGTACTTAGCGTCTTTTTTTACTTAATGTAATGTGACAAAGTACAATCATTTTAAGTTGAAATACCATTTTTTATAAAGCGATGGGACATTATTATTGTCATTTTTACTGATAATCATATGTTTAATACTACTTTTCATTTATTTATTTTTTCAATATGAAATGCACTATATTAAAAATCTAATAAATAAATGTATATAGGTTAATGTTTAATACAAAATTACATAATAATTTCTTAGTTAAATTACATATTTTATATTTCTTAATTTAGTTAAAGTTTACATACATGCCTTTCTACTTTACATTTAATCTAGATTAAGCTTCATACTTCTTAAATTCACAGGAGTGTCGGTGGACGAAAATGTTAAAATTACGCTTACGAGTATGTATTTTTATTTACTATGTAGTCAATATAATATTGCGGTCAATTACAAATTGTGTACATACAATGATATATAACACTCGAATCAAAGTCGAAACAACCACTTCACCTACTTATTGTATTATAAACTTGTATATCATTTTATTTATGTCACGGATCAATTTTGAATTAAGTCTATTTAAAATATTTCTAGTTATATTAAAAGTTGACTACAAAATGTAAGCTATATGAATACTATTCGAATCAAAGTATAATAATATTATGAAAAATGTTTCTAAAGATATTGCAGTTTAACGTAAGATAAGACATACGCTTTGTACAAAAGGAAAAGATTTGAAAAATCTATTTAATCTTTATTTTTTTTTTATTTTAATGCGTCAAGGTGATCATGATAAATGTAGGTATTTTTTGATAAAATTCAAGTGTATGCAAATACATTGCTTAATTCTTACATTTCCGCTACTTGGTCGTATTTTGTTTGCTAACAACTCGTAACAATATAGATTATAAATGGGAGTTTGTTTATCATGAAACGAATTAACTATCAAGAGTTTCGACGGCACAAAAACATATTGTTATCTCTTTATTTTCAAAGAGCATGAGAGGGACAACATGTTATTGTACTAGAGTTTCAGTAAGGGAAAATAACGTTCAAAATTATCTATCTTGAACAGGGCCGTACTCATTCGCGAAACGAAGTATTTTTAAATAAAACATTTTATTTATTATATTTTTTATGCGTAAATTATTTTTAATCAAAAAATCTTTGATAATGCTCGAATTTAGAACAATGGGCTATTAGAATAATAAAATAAACGCCGTTGATATAATATCCTTGAGAATAAACCCATATCAATACTGGTACTGCAATGGGTCCCTGCCATGACATTGTATTATGAGGTATTGCCGTACTTTTCTTTCTATTTGGAAATAACAGAGATAGCAATAACATTGGTATACTTTTATTTAACAGTAAAATTTCACGACAAACATTGATATATAATTTCTGTTTAATAGTAAGATATATTTTGCCCGCGATTCCGTCCACGCAGAATTGATAGAAAACTTAGTAAGTAGCCCATGTGTTATTCAATAATACGTTCTATATGTATGCCAAATTTCATCAAGATCCGTTTAACCTTGAGATACGTTCTAACAAACATCCATCTATTTATAATATTAGTAAAATTATGTTCTACACAAAATATGAAACTAGAATTCATACTAATACATATAATAACATACGACTGGCAATGTACATTATCTAAAGTATTTTAATCTTAGACACACGTTTATATTATATTACTTTATTTCCTTGTAATGTAAATTCGAGAGAGCATCTGTGGCTCAGCGGTTAAGCACTTGACTTGCAATCTGCAGGTCCTGGATACGAATCCCGCTATGTTGTAATGTGTTTTTCGATTTCTGATTTACATATGTACATTTATCCGACGTTTTACGGTGAAGGAAAAATATCGTCATGCAACCTGCACATATCTGAGAAGAAATTCAAAGATATGTGTGAAGTCAACCAACCCTCATTGGGCCAGAGTGGTTGACTATGGCCTAATCACCCCTAACTTTAGGGTAGGCTCCGAGCCCCTCGGTGGTGACGTTCGACGTAGTGAGCTGATGATGAATGTAAATTTGGAGTTTATAAGATAAATCTTAAAAACTGTTACGACACTATCAAAAATATAACAATGCAGAACCAAGAGTTACCGTGAAATCGATTCGATTACATAAAATAGCGGAAAAGATCTCGTTTGCATCGCATTCCGTTCGTATTTATAATTCACTCAAAGGAAGTATAATAATATTCACATTATAGGCATTCGTAAGACTACAATAAGTGCGTGGTAATGAGTTTAAACATTGCCTCTGCTCCTATATATTTTTATCCGCGTAAATATTACAATCCTATTTTCAAATGGTGATCATTATACAACCTTTTATTCAGATATACAGTTTTGCTTGCAGTAAATTCTTTTGTGTTTTTTTAATCGTATTTGGTGGAACCTAATATTGATCATTTACATGATATAATTTATATTTTAAACTATCAACTTAATTTTTAGGATTCCGTACCTCATAGGAAAAAAACGGAACACTTATAACATCACATTGTTGTCCGTCCGTCTGTCTGTCAAGAGCCTTTTTCACAAAAACGCGTGAATATATCAAAGCTGGAATTTATTTAAAGATAATTCTCATAATTAACTTTGCAGATCAAAGATAAAATCGCTAACATACCAAACATAGTTCAAACAGCGTACCAACTCAGTACAAATGGTTACGATCGCCAATTAAATAGAATTATTCAAATTTAGTTTTATCATATATGAGATAGTAAACGTGAATGTTAAGCAATATAAAGGATACTATGTCTTTATATATAGATCGATCTTGATATAGTTTGTATAAAATTATATTATAATCTTCTACTTAAGTTACACTTAACGACAGTTAAATTAATATTATTTAAATTAAAATATCCACACTATAATTTGAAAAATACTTACAATTCTTCGATTCAGTAACTCTGTTCTCTTTGTTTGTACTTTTTGCACACTTAACAATTTCCCATTCAACTTATGTCACAAATACAACGTGCGTTAAACAAGCGTCTTTAGAGCGGTCGCCGCACGACTGCTCAAGTTTATTGAGTTGCGCGCGCGCAGCCTCCGATCAAATCCCGACGTAAGTCATCGCGGACGCGTTAATGCGATTAAATTGCATACTATTAACATGACATCCAATTCAAATCACAATCGTGGGATATTAAATATGCACGTATAAACTTACTTTTGATTTTTAAATAAAATTAATTCACAACATATCTTATACTCTTTATATAAAGAAAAGATAACGCTAAGATAATAATTAAATAGGTTAATTAAACCTTACTATAGGCGTAAGTATCAAGATTCTTGTAAACACTTGTGTAAAATGCACTTTATAAAGGATTTATCAAGTTAATTGGCTATTGCAAAACATCTGCAACTTCCAGCGGTTTATTGAAGACTGTTTCATTAAGATTAGAAAGATTAATTAATTCTTTGATTAATTACTGTATTTAACTGCTAATTACAGTTAAGTACCTTGTATGTTAAGGCTGACCACAAATGAAATAACTTGGCAGTATATTTAATTAGCCTTTAAAACACTAGCTGTAACCCGTGATTTCGTTAGCTCGGGACTAAAATAATGTTTCCGAGTGCATCCACCTTCCTATCAAAGTCCCGTAAAACTTGGTCTAGCCATTCTATAGATCAGTTAACCGTTCAGAAAGATAGACAGACGAAAATAAAAGAAAAAATTGTTTTCGAAAGGTAATTTTTTTTATAAGAGAAGGGGGCAACCGACATACAGGCATACATTTTATTGATATTTATGGATTTATAATTAATATCGTTTTTGCTTTAGTAACATTGATTTCACACGAGTTACATCGCGTTACTTCCTTGTATATAACATATATAAAAATATAGTTTGTCAGTAGCCTAATTTGTTTTGCCATTAATGATTGCTTCGTTACGTATTGTAGAGTTGGTATATATTATATTTAACACGACAGCTAAATAATTGTGAGACTCATTCTTACCAATAATATTTTCTAATTTAACCACTATGTAAGTACAATTAAATAAGTCTTAACTGACTATTAAGAAAGTATTTGGTTTATTACTCGTTAGATCTGTAATATTTATTCTAATAGCTGGTATTAGAGTAAATCAGTGGGAATAGTGTTGTTATACTAATCAAGAGATTAAACTATGGTTTATTTAACCCTTATTAGCCTAGAGTTTCAATTTTGATACCAATCTTTTAAACCGAATGTTCACATTACTATTAGTTTTTTTATAGGTTGGCTGTACTTATTTTACTGTTGTATAATATTCTTTCCAACGAAATTAAAAAAAAAACAAATTTCGTTACTGTTTTATTTTATCAAGCAAACACAGTAATATTAAAAATAAATCACTTTCGTATATAAAGCAGGCTACTAAGGGTAAAAAAATCTATGGTCTTTAAACTGAATGTTAATAATGAAATCATTTTGTTCTTCGAATAGAGAGAAGCACTATTTACGTAAAATGAAGTGTATAATATTAAGTAATTTTCTTAATAATTTTCCATAGCGTCAACATTAGATATGACGTTTGAAAAAGCGAGTGACAAATATAATTTGCTACACAATACACGTCTCATTTTTTTTACTGCTTACTTTTGATTTACGCGTATATTCCTATATAGTGATATAAAAATCAAGAGAACTTAAGAGATGAAAGGCAATTCATTAACCTCCGTACAACTTGGGGATAGCCTTAACTTCTTAGTCTTAGTCTTTCTTTTCTTTTCCTTTGATTTGGTTGGTGCGTTCACTTGATTGAACTATTCATTGGTATATTAGTAACTTTCATAATTAATATAACATTTTTACTAAGGATTTAAAACACCAAGCAATAGTTCAAAGGAGGAAGAACACCCTCATTAGACCTTCGTCACGTCGCTGCTTAAAAGGTATTTGCGAATTAACAGTGAGGTATTTGAATCAAAATGCCTCTGTATCAAAACAAGGATAAATACAAAAGAATATGACTAATATTAGGAGGTATGCAAGTAATGATATTCACAAAATATAGTGCATACAATAAAGCTTTGTCTTTATATAAATTTCGCACGTTTACCTAATACACCATAGAAATTGAAATAAGTGTGTAATTCATGTCATCACATAAATATGCTGTTATTTTTAAACTGATATATAAACACGGCTAAACACTCACGTATATTCGTTATTTCGCGCCCATCGGGGGCCCTTCATCAGGATGAGTGGTACTGGTATTATTTCGCGGAATCATAACAGTACCACTCATCCTGATGAAGGGCCCGCGATGGGCTCGAAACTAGTCGGTGCCGCCACCGGACGAGTATACGTGAGTGTTTAGCCGTGTTTATATATCAGTTTAGTATAATGTCTCACGAAAGTTTGAATAATTTAACTGTTATTTTTAGTAGTCTTGGTGTTATATTTTTCCTTCCCTTTTTTGACAATTAATGTATTTATTGTGTACTATAGTATTCAATAAAGTTTTATAATACCACTAAAGTAAAAATTACAAATCCATAAATAATTTTGGTTCCCCAATTAAATGCACCAATAAAGCCAAGTTGTATGTTTACTTTGTCAAATGCCCCTAATTCAGTCTTCGAAACCATTCCTCTTTGTTCCTTCTATGCATTTTAAAAGTATTTTAATAACTGCGGTCAAATACAGTAATGACGGCTAAACTCATGTGTAAATATCCAGTAACTAAATTCAGCAGGGTGAAGGAAAACATCGTGATGCAAACTGCATACCTACCTAACTTAGGTTAGGCCCAGAGTCCCTCGTGGGGACGTATAGTGAGCTGATGCTGAAATTCAGCATTGACTAGGATTCGGACGTATCAGGCCTTCTGCAGAATGATTGTATATTCGGCTGTATTCGTTCTCAAGTGAGTCTCGCATAGGTGGTTAATTAAACCTGTCTGTCAGGACAAGCATGTTCCAGTATAACAATGACAAAAATAATTAAAACTATTGCCTTAATATTTTAATTATAATAAATAGTGGTATTTACATTATGTAAGACATTAAAATCAATCTTTAGCAATTGGCGAGTGATCGTGTTTGGGGTGTACAATTTTCTTCTCCATATCAGTTTGTCGCTTCTTGAATGTACCATGTTTCCATCCAGGTGGGTAACCGTATTTATCAACATCGTCCCACCATTGTTGCTCTCCTGATCCCCAAATTACGTACACAACGTTTGTGCCGACGAGTACTGCGAAGACGGCCCAGAATGCTATCCGCCATTGCTCAACTGTTTGCTGAAATATGCAATAAATAAAATTAATTATAATAATTTTATATGTATGCCAAATTTCATCGAGATCCATTCAACCAAACATTCGCATTTATAATATTAGCATGGTTAAACCCAGATATCAAAATATTTGTCACAGTGTAACCTCGGCAATGACTGCAAGTACTCTTTAAGGGAATAAACAAAGATTAGTAAAAAATCAGTAGAGATGTGTAGTGAAATAAACCCACTTATATGATCTGATACTAATCATTGTCCGTTCATTATCTTTGTTTGCAGGCGATATAACTTGACAGGTTCAAATGTTTTTTTACATTCTTTCCACTATAAAGAAATTTTGTCTAATTTAACTAGGTGATTGGATGCATATGCTTTACTTCTCCAAAAACTTGCTAACTAATAATATTAAAAAAATCGATACGGAAAGTAGGCAAAAACTTTTAATAAACTGTAAACGAAAAATGTCGAAAGCTTTCTGCCGCATACGTCTGATTGAAAAAAGGTTGACATGTAATTTATTTTTGTTAGTACAAGGTTCCAAAGGAATTCTTACCGTATGACGTAAAGTAGTATTATTTTATCTTTCTACTTTAACTATCTTTTACGTTACTTGAATATGTCACATGAAATTGACAGCATATGATAGTCATCAGTGATATCTGCAAGGTCTTTGGAAACAAACTTTGCTATGCGATCATCTAATCACAATCAAGTATTTTTATTTACTTTGATTCGTAAAGAGGAAACTGAGATATGACAAGACTTTTTTTTAATTTTAATACTCAATAATTTACACGATTGAAAATTGTTCATAAAATCTCTCATTACCTATTGCCTTTAATTAAATAACATTAGTTATTTACATTTAAAAGAAATTGCTGCATTATTTCCTTCAGGCGCTAAATACCTAAATTAGTTTTAAAAGGTATTACGGTTGAAAAGGCGCGTTGGTTTCCAGCTGACTTATTAAATTTCACCTTTGACCGAAACAAAGTCACTCAACCGAATACTAATATCCTGTAACAAACTTGACTGTGATGTAAAAAACGACCTTATTATCTCTTTTTTAGTTAATTTGAATTGCCTTGTGTTAATCGATCAACATTTTTTTATAACAAAAGGGTAAAAGAGGATACAAAAACGTTACGACGTCAAGAAGGAAGTGCACCTTGCTTTAAAAAAATATATTTTAAGACGATATTTAATTGTTGATTGTTTTCAAACAATAATGGCAATTAATAGAGTACTCTTTAAAATTCAATTCCAGAAAAATCAACTATAATGAATATTTAATCGTCAATAGCGTAATGGTTAAGGGTACGGATTTCAAATCAGGAGGTCCGTGGTTCGAATCCCGCCATTTGACTACAGTTGTAAACCATGTCCTATCACAAATATAGAGTTTAGTTGCGATAGTACAAGAAATATTAGTAAATTAAAAAAATATATGCTATTTTATAAAAAAAAAATTATATCAACGAATAAAAGAAATAATATTTCGAAAGAAATAATTAAAAACTCAACTTACATCAGGCGTTAATAATCCTATCAAATATGGTGTAATGATTCCTGATATAGCAGCAATCCCGTTCACAAACGCTGAGCAAGTACCAGCATAATTTGGAGCTATGTCCATGGCATTTATCTTCACGCTGCTATAGAAACCTCCCATGAACGCCATTGATGCAATGAATAGACCCACAGCCTGCAAGCGATCGCATCCGGAGTACGAGGCCAGAATTATAAAAACAGCGGGTACGGAAGAGGCTGTGAAATAAAATTATTTTCCTTGAAGCTCAAATAAAATTGATAAAAATGAATTCTTATTTCTACATATTGTGTCGAATCAATGTTTAGAAAGTTGAAGTAAAATGTATCAGATATAAACAAAAATAAATTAAACATAGTCTTTTGAAGCAACGAGTATTTCGTTTATAGTTTTGAGAATTTTGAGACAATTTGGAGGACGATATCACAATGCATTGAAAAAAAATGTAGCATATGAACATGAGAAAAGAGGAAGTTAAAACAGAATTTTGAAATGTTAGCAGGCTTGACTTATGTTAACAATTCTTAGTAATCCAAAGGAAATGAAACAAAGCTTTACTAACAGACGGTTGTATAAATTTTCCTGCCAGTCGAAATGCTATGCCAATTCTTCTTGATGCAGAAATCGCAGAGGCCGGCAAATATAAAGGAGCAGATGTACATCGCAACGTACGGCAGAGCGGACATAAGACCGGTCTCTTTGATGTTGAACTTAAGCACATCGGAGAAGTATTTCGGCAAATCGGTGATCATCGTAAAGTAGCCCCAGTCGTGACCGATCTGTAAAAATTACAACATAACGCCATGTTTTGGTCTTTAGATTTTTATAAAAGTTTTGCCGTTTTTGGGTAAAAATTTACAATACATAATTCAAGTGACAATAGAGGTTTTTGTAGACCTAATAATTTGCATCCTCCCAGAAAAAAACAGAATGGAAAACGAATTATTACTGAAACTGAACTTTGTAATCAGGAAATTCGTTGCCCTAACTACAAAGATGAAACACTTAGATAAAACGGGAATAATAGTAAGAAATTTTATCACATCTGTAGGAAATAATTGAAACATAATAATATGAGAACAAAGAGTACAAATTGGTATAATCTAAGCTCCGCAAAATAAAAAAAATTGTAATGTACATTTTTAGATTTTTCAGAAGTGTGTAGATATCACGTTTTGAATTTATAAAAAATTAAGAAACTTACAGCTGCCATTATAAGTACCCAAAGCGGGCCGGATCTCAGCATTGCCTTGAATGGAACTGGATCCAATTTTTTATGTAAGCCCGAAGCAGCCACGTTATTGTTCAAATAATTCCTCTCCTCGTCAGAAATGTAAGGATGGGAATTAGGTGTACTGTAGCATAAAAGCACCTGAAATAATTGGACCATTAGAAAAGAGCCATGGAAATATTTCTTACGGAAACGGAATCAAATTAAATGATAATGAAAATTCTATTGAAACAATTAAGTTAGTTATTTCAGTCGTTTTAATAATATTGATTGAGGAAAAAGTAATCCATTAATTTAAGAAATTGGCTGTGGTGATCGATAGCGCGTACAGTATCAATCATAAAGTTTTGTATAAGACCTATTTTAGATGACCACTTTGTATATCCAGTAAACATTAAACTCAAAATTTCCATTAAGAACATATATGATAACATTTACTTACCCAAAATACGAACCAGATCATACCCAATCCTCCAAAGACATAGAACACATTGGCCCAATCACCACCATCAGCTAAAAGTATACCAGAAAGGTAAGGACCGACGATGTTACCGATCTGAGCTCCACCAAAAATCATAGCTCCAAACCGAGACCGTTCTGAAGGTGGTACCCATCTAGCTAATAAAAGTACAAACGCTGGTGTAACTGGACCCTGAAATATCACAGATTAAATTATATTTTTTGATGAAATAAACAATTCTTTAAAAAAAATCACAACAATCTTAAATTTATTGAAATATCTTCTAAGGCATAAAACGTTTAAAGATTTGTTTGCGTATTTTCCAAGTTTTTGACTCATAGGTCGAATATTGCAATGGACATCGATCGATTGTGAATATGAATGAAAATATTTATTTCAAACTTGCTAGAGTATTATGTAAACATTTAAATTTCCGGCTTATGAGATATCTAAAGTCTAACATACTCAATTTTGTTATTTACGACACTGAATAAACATGTAATGATGATGTAAGAATGATAAAGTATCAGATTACATAAAATTTGTAGACCTACCAACTATCTTACCTCGCCAAATCCTTCTATAACCCGCATTATGAACAACCCCACGGCACCCCACATACTAACAACCCATGGGGTAAGAGCTGTCGCTATGGAAGTGACCAATAGACCCAATCCAAGTGTCCATTTTCCTCCAAACTTTTCAGCCAATAGTCCTCCCGGCAAGTGAGTTATCACGTAGCCGTAGTAAAACGCGCTCAAGAGAAAGCCTTGTGTTGCTTCGCTCCAATCATATCGATCCCGACCCTGATTGGAATAATAACATCTATCATACAGATGCAGCTAGGTTAGATTTTAAACAAAGTAAAGATTTTGAAAGTCCAGTCTCTTTTAGCTTTGTTAGTGATAGTAGGGATAATAATAAAGGAAACAATACTGGTGGTGTAAATACTTTAGATGTTTAAAAGAAACATTTGGCGCAGTACTATTCTTAGATAATTCTGCTGGTTGCTTATTACAGCTCTTTGCACTTAACAACTGCCATAAAGATAATATGCGTATAGATACAAAATGCTAACGAAAATAAAGATTAGTAAAGATATTTAGAAAACTCAAATAAATAGGAATTTAGTTAAGGTAGCATCAAAAAGTAGGCTAGAAATATTTTGCGAGGTTAATTGGAAATATACGTACTTCAAAGTAAACTGTACTGTTACTTCCTTCAGATCCGGACGAATAGCTATTGTCAGGGCAAGTCTCGCCTACTATGTGCTCGGAGGATTCAGCATGCAACACCATTTGTGTGATAGTCATACTGAGACATACCCGCATTGTGAAAGCGTTTGCCAAAGCAAACAGACCCATAATGCCAAGAACATACCGTTGAGGTATGAAAATCACTGAAACATGTTCAAAACGTGAAAACGTAGAAAATAATCAAACGCAATTTAATTAAAAGAAATGTGCATGTAACCAGCTGACGCCCGCGCCTTCGGCCGCGCGGAATTAAAACTTAGATAGTAGCTAAATCTCAGACCTACTAAATATGTATTTAAAATTTCATAAAAATCGGTTAAGTCGTATCGAGGGAATATGGTAACTAACATTGTAACACGAGACTTTTATTAATATTTAATTATTAGATCTTCTAGCAACATAAATAAAGCAGTCTGTCGTATGCATGCATGTTATAGTGTGGTAGATACATTTGTTAGTTTTTTCAAATCATTAATGTATAGTTACTAAGTTAGAATTCGTGGCCTTCGTCAACACTACTGTGTTATGAAATTGGATCCTTAATTATGCCCGTGTATATTGGTATTATAAAAAGTTTCATACCTCGATTCAAAATAAGCCGCCATCCTTTCAAAGCCATGGAACATAAATCACAAACACCGTTTCGTAGTCCAACAGCACGGGCGATATGCACTTATACAACTTACAATATAGTGCTATCGTGGATACGTGCCGCTGGACCTGTCAAATTCCGCAAACGTAGACATGATACTATTGCTATCAACTCGTGTTGAGATAAACACGAGATGGCGCACCCGATACGTCTACAACATTTTAAGAGAAAGATACAGTCTGAGTAACTTGCGACATAAATTGAAACTAAACGATAAAAAAACACAAATTTCGAAAGACCTTTCCTTGAATATTTTTTTTCCTTTTAATAAGATATTGGAGCAATGATACAGTTTATTTGTACGCTATATAATTTAAACAAATATTGAATATATATTCCATTACCGTATTGACTCGGGAGGATACTGTTTTTTCGCGCATATTTTCAAGAACTTTGGACCCGATATGGAATTGTGAGGTCTCATATGATTTATATTATTCTGATTGTCATAGGGGTTTAGTCAATCGTATTTTTTATTTCAATTTATTTAAAGCGTAATTTTGCTGTCAAAATCCACAGTAGTTGTAGTTAACGTGAAGTATAATAAACTATGCGGTCCTAAGCCACTGAGACATAGTTTAATAAACTCTTGGTAAGGTATTCATAGGAAGCTAAAGAATTGAATAGAGTTGCTATGTAGATCATTTCAAATTGTAGAAGTTACAAACTTGGTTATTGTCAATACTTTGAGCGTCGTCGGCTCATGGGTTAAGCACTTGATTTGTCTTGCGCTTGACTTAGAAGTTCTATCTCCGCCATGTACCAATGTGTTTTTCGATTTACTAAATCCGAGATTTTTACGGTGAAGGAAAACATCGTGCAACCTGCATATATTTGGGAAAAGAATTCGAAGATATATGTGAAGCCCTGCACTAAACAATCGAGAATGACTAAGGTCTAGTAACCCCTAACTTAGGCACCGAGCCCCTCAATGGGGACGTATATAAATCATAAAACAACGCATACGTATTGCAGAAAATATATCAACACTTTTTAATCTCATCTCTTTACCATCAATGTACATATCAATGACATTATCTCTAATCACAAAGTATGTGATGTCACCCATATTTGACACTTAGCTGAGTAATAGTGAATGGTGATTCACGAGGTCGGCACAGTAAGTACTACTCCTCCCTACATCTCTGTCAGCCGTTATATCTGAATCTACCCCTTCCTACGCATATCCTCTTTTACACACTCCATCCATGCTTTCTTTGGTCTTCCTCTACCTTTGTAGCCGTCAAATTCAATCTCATTACTTTTTTGCTTATATCATCATCTTCCCTTTGCATAACATGTCCAAACCACGCTACCTTTTGCTTCCCAATTTCTCGACCACAAATCAATAAGTAAATAATTTATCATAATTATTTTATCTTAAGTTGATTTATATCATAAGTTGAAATAAAAAGAAACAGACAAAAGAAGAAGAACATATTTGGGAAAAGGGAAAGAAGAGGTCTTGTATTAAATAACCAAGGGAAAGACATAGGAATCAAATTGTTAGAAGTTGCTTTACAGATAAAGACGGAGTGTGATAACGATATTCTTGAAGGTTTACAAGTCCAAATACACAATGAATAATTTCATAAAAGGTGTGCTCTTTTCTTTGCTTATATTAAAGATAACAAATCGAAGTATTTACTAAAAATTGCACAAACATCCTTAGTATCAGTCGTTATTCATATCTTTTTTAAGAATCCAGGCCCTTATTTGTTTTCTACGTGAACGTATTTCTTAACTATGAAAATATTTCCATAGAACTTAACAAGGCTTGAAAAATTATTTTTAATCTGTTTTATTATGATTTAGTTATTTCTTTCGATTTTGATGGCTATTTGGTTTAATGACATTGTTATATTCAATATTGAGTCTATGCTATGGAGCATGTATTTTTTACGTAATTACATATCAATAACCAAAAACTACTCAGATCAGGGTTTCTCTGAAACTTGGACACAACTTGCAATACAAAAAAACTCTGAATTTTTTATCATTTATTGTACAAAACATAACAATAACAACATTTGCTTAACTTATTATTTGCTAGACTTATAAAATAAATATATCACTTTTTCTCTGTAGTTTCGCTTTCTTTTGATTCCTCTGCGTCTTTTGATTTGGTTGGCAGTGGACCGTGCTTCCATCCAGCAGGATAGCCATGCTTCCTAACGTCGTCCCACCAAAGCTGATCTCCTTCCGCGAATATTAAGTAGACGATGTTAGTGACAACTAACACGACTAAGCAAACCCAAAATGCTACCCGCCATTGCTTGAGAGTAGACTGAAAAAAAAATGTCGTTAGTAAAGTGGTTTTTATGTTGTAAAACTTTATTAAATACGTGTCAGATTATCCTATGATTTTATGTAGTTCTAAACTTTAGAATAATAATTTATTTCTATAATATTTGGTTTACAAATAAATAGCCCTTACAGATAATAATAAGAATAAAAAAAACATTATTTTCCTTGAAGTTGTTGACAGACATATTAATTTTGTAAACGTGCCACCTGTTGGCAGATTTATGAAACAATAAAAAAACTAAACTTACATTTGGTGTAAGTAGTCCAATTAAATACGGAGATATAATGCCGGAGACTGCTGCAATGCCGTTTACTAGAGCAGTAGTGGTACCAGCGTAGTTGGGCGTAATATCCAGGGCGTTGATCTTCATACCACTATAGTATGCGCCCATGAGCGTCATCGCAAATATGAACCAAAACACAGCCAGAGTGGTGTCACAGCCAGAGTATGAAGCAAGTATAATGCAAATACCAGGGCCAGTGGCGGCTAGAAAATAAATTGTTTATTTAGTTATCTAAAATTTTAATATGCTTAAAAAAAGTTTTAATATTACTTTTTAACCAAATTGATGTAGATGTCAATCCACTGCTGGTTGTAAGTCTTTAGAGATTTTAAATATTAGGTTAATGTCATAAAGTATATCCTATAAAGAGAAGAGAAAAGAAATAGCTACAAGCATACAAAATGTTTTGTACAAACAACCTACCTATGGTAGTATAAATCTTCCGAGCATTCTTCAGGCTGTGATATCCTTTCTTAATGCAGAAGTCACAAAGAAGACCGAAGAAGAATGAAGCGATCCACATCGCCACGTATGGCAGGGCAGACAATAGACCAGCAGACTTGATGTTAAATTTAAGGACATCGGTCATGTATTTTGGCAGATCTGTAACCATCGTGAAATATCCCCAATCGTGCCCAATCTGGAAAAAAAGAAGCAAAAAATTAACAAAGTTCGTAATAAATTAGTAAAATAGCTTCTTCTAATTACACCTTCATTCGAGATCAGAGAGTTTAGAAATAAAATAGGTATAATTTAAACTTACACCAATAGATGGCACTCTTATATGATTTCGTTAAATATGATTCCGTTTATGGATTCGGTTCAAATACTTACAGCAGCAATAATTAAAGACCAGAGTGGAACTGATCTCACAAGCGCCTTCCATGGGACGGGGTCCAAGTCAGCCTTCTGGCTGTGTATCAATGAGGTCACATTTTCATTTAAGAATTTCTTTTCCTTGTCCGAGATGTACGGATGTGTATTTGGCGTACTGTAGCAGAATAAACTCTGAAATAAAACATATTTCATAGAATTAACCGAAAATTATTATAATGTATTATTATCTCTATGTAGTCTAATAATATACTCGTAACTATTTACAGTTGTCTAGTCCTGTACCATTAATGCAGTAAATTATCAAAGATTATGAAGAATTTAAAAAGCACCTTATTCAATATTTGTAGTAATAATTATACTTTCTATTCCTTTCTCTTGCCTTTCATAATATTCCAAACTATTTTTAAATAGAGTTCATCGGGTAGTGGTCCTACATAACATTAGATTTTATAAAGAACATATTCTTACCCACAAAATAAACCAAACGAGACCCAATCCACCGAACATGTAGAACACGTTATCCCAAATACCGTTGTGCATGATCAGACCAGAGAAATAGGATCCAGCGATGTTACCAATTTGCGCGCCTCCAAACACAATGGCACCCATACGGCCTCTTTCCTCCTTTGGCGACCATCTTGAAAGCATCACCATTAATCCAGGCATCGTAGGACCCTAAAATTTTAAAAAATGCTACTTAAGATAACAACAGTCCAATGGTTACAGAAGAATATCAGAACACGTGGTCGTGGATGTTAATTAAACCATTATTTTTGAAATATTTGTTAACTTAACAAAAGTTTTATCAACAACTAGTTGTTATAACAAAAATTCTTCAAATCTCTTAAATATCTTTCAGTTTACTATCTATTGTTCTGTATCAATTTTGATTACATGTTAAACATCAAAGATTAACATAATACTCAAGTGCATTATCTGAATGACACTTTCGAGTTCAAAGTGTGCTAAAAAAGAACCATAATTTTTATTTCTGTTTTATGGCTTATTGAAATGTAAAACATAATGTCTTGCGAGTAAAGTATTTGCATTTAACATCTTACTTTGAATGGAATATTACATTCAACGACGTACATTAGGCGTCCTTTAAGTATAAAATAACATCGTTATATCCTTTGCAATTTTCATTTGATTCAAAATTACAACATAACTGTGATTACGTCATGCTACCACAAGCGCTGAAGGTACAAGGTTTTCGTATTATACTTCCTATGCCAAAAAAAATAATTTACTAGAATGTTATAATACAAATAAATATTTTTACGTAGTTTAAATTCAAGATAGTTCTCATATCTGAAGTAACCAAATTTAAAAACCTTAGAAACACTACTGCAGTTACTTACCTCACCTAAACCTTCAATAACTCTAAGGATAAAGAGTGCTGTCGCTCCTCCCATTTTCACAGTGATCGGAGTGATGAACGTGCATATCGAAGTAGACAATAAGCCGAGGCCGAGCACCCATTTGCCCCCGTACCTCTCAGCCAGCATACCTCCAGGGATATGAGTCAGGATGTAACCGTAGTAGAATGAGCTGAGAAGCAACCCTTGTGTTGCTTCACTCCATTCAAAAACGACGAGCTGCAAAGAAGATTACTTGTAGAATACGAACTAGTGACTCAGGTCAGCTTTCATGCCATTTACATTAATGAAACCCTCAAAACTCCAAAAACATAGCATTTATAGGATAACTCGGAGTTGATT